CACACACACACACACACACACACACACACACACACACACACACACATGTGTGTGTAGCTTTCTTGTTTCTCTCAATCAGTTAACACCGATTGCCACGAGACATCGCTTGGTCTTCTATGCCTGTCCCTTTCCCTCCCTCTCCCTCTGCCCCTCTCATTCGCCCTATCTCCCTCTCACAGATGTCAGAAACCAGTTTCAACCATTCCCAACCCCTTTCTTCTATTCTTCCCACTTCTACCGTTGCAATCAGCCGCGACAAGGCGACAAGAAGTTTTCAATCAAACTGCGCTGCAAAAAAAAAAAAGGGGAAGAATAAGACGAGAAGAAGAAGAAAAACAGACAACTCTAACAAAGTTTCAATTGTTGTCGCTTTTCCTCTTAGTTTATTGCTTATTGTTAACTTTATTCGTTTTGTTTTTGTTTCTTTTTTGTGCTTTATTTGCTCGGAGCATTAAATACAGGTAGAAAGGCCATAATAAAGTTATAAAAATGTATTACGAACTGAAAGAGGCAAATGTGATAAAACTCCAGGAATTTCAATGAAAAGTAAATTCTTATTTCCATGCATGTGTGTGTGTGCGTGTCAGTATTTGTCTTGTGTTGTCCCATCCGTTAGGAATTTACCGTAACAAGGTAAACAATTTTAATAGCTTCAATGGTAATTCTTCAATTTACCTTTCGGTTTTGCTTATCTTAATTAATAGCCATTTCTTTTGTATTCAATTAAGTTCGTACATTGACTACATGCCAAAGCTCGTAATGCTGCCTACGAAGTATGCTGTGTCTATTGAAACTATGTCAATAATGTCTTGCTGAGATTTTATACAAAAAAATGAGGACAATGTCAATGTTGAAATACCTGCGCATAAAGTTCTGCAATAGAATCAACACTAAGTACATAAATAAGTAAATAAATTTAAAAAAAAGTCATGTAATGTAAAGTTGATGACTTGAATGACTCGAATGACTCACAGTTTTAAGCTTTAACCTAGAAACGTAGGAATTAGTTAGTTCTAGAATATCTACTAATGCATGACACTATTCCTGGGTTAGCTTTAAATACCTGCAAATTGTCTGTACATTAGATGCTTCTGTATGTACATATGGTAATATGTGAGATTCTTTTTCTTGAGAGCCCAAATTTCTACGTAATACGTTACACTGGCAATTTTCCTTGTAAATCTGCTGTCTGGCATCTCTCGTTTCGGGTCCCTCTCATTCGACTCATTCACAAAATTATACAAGCTGCATGTATGTACCTTCATACATATGTTTATACATATTTATATATGTATATTTGTATATCTATATGTTTTTCTTTCAATTGGCGAATATTTCACGTAAATTTCCTCAAGAGAACAATATGTGTGTGTGTGTGTATATCATATATCAACAACTTTGCACAAAAATGAATGTTACATATCCATACAAACATACACTGCATATCGCTTTTGAAAGTAGTGTCGCCTGTCAGCTGGATAATGACCGATGACAACGAGTGCTATTAACATGCGATTCAAGCGCCATTTGCAGATCATGTGCGAGCACAGGCACGCACACAGACACACACACACACACACTCGCTTACACCCACGGGAGCAAGCAGTCTTCCTGCTCACACAAACACACATACACACAGTTGAGCGCTTGCGTGTGTGTGCATGTAGTTTGACTTTCTTTTGTCACTTGCGGCCAGTGCTGCCATCTGTTCTGTTAAGCAAATAAACTAATTAATTAAGTTCACATCAGGTTATTTTCTTTTCTCTTTATTTATTCAAGGTTAGCTTGGAATTATTCTTTCAAGTCGCAAATCTTTTCACACATGCCAAAATTCCCGTTGCTTTTTGGATGTTGTTGATTTTATTTTTTTGCAATCACTTACAAATGTCAAAATTGGCAACGCTGTCGCTCTCTTGCGCTCATTTAGCTTTAGCCTCTGCCGCTGCCGCTGCCGCTGCCGCTGTCGCTGCTTCTGCAGCTGCTGCTGCTACCGCTGCTGCCACTGCCACTGCCGCTGCTGCTGCTGTGTTCTGTTTTTGAAGTACGTGACTTGCTTTGCACTTCCTGTATCGTTTTGTTGGCCAGAGAAATGTTGCCAATTATTCAAAGTGTGCGGCGACGACGACGACGACGGCAGCGGCAGCGGCTGCAGCCGCTTCTGTTGGTGTCGTCAGACAAATAAAATAAACAAATAATAACTAAGCATTTTGTGTGTGTGAACAGACATACATACACATATGTACATAGATACACATGGACATGTGTGCGTGAGCGAATAGTGCGACTGCGAGAGTCGGCAATTTACCGCTTGAGGCTGTTGTCGCCACGCCGCGTTGGTCCAACGAAAGCAGTGAGACATCGACGCATCCATATGCACTCAACTGCTCAATTGCTCAATTGCTCAATTGCTCAACTGCTCAAACTGTTCCAACTAAACGGGACGACGAAAAGTCACTCGGAAAGTACTTAGTCAGGTCAGGCGGCGAACGAAGAGGCTGTCGGCTGTCGGCTGTCGGCGAGCAATCGGTCGAGCGGGTAAACAGCGGGTGAGCGGACGCGGTCACCTGTCTGACTCATCGATTTAATTTTAAACACTATTTCGAGACCTTAGTCAATGAACGCGGCGGCGTGCGCGCGGCACACAAAAAGCCCAACACCCCAAGAGAGTGTGCCGATAATGCTGTTGCCGCTGGTGCTGCTGCTGCTGCTGGGCGAAAGGCAACGTCAAAAGGAAAGGAAGAGCGAGAGAAAGGCGCAGGCAAACGTTCGCTCTTTCTCTGTTAAATTTGCTTATTTATTATTCTTTTTGTGTAAGCGTTATTGCAATATGCTGTTACGCTGCACTGTAAATTGCATAGGCGCTGCTCAATTTCTGTATTTAGTACTTTACGCTGTTAATGCTAACATTTACATGTGCTGTTAAACGCGTTCATTTACTTACAGCGCACTGTAACGAATATACTTACTAACAATGGATTTCAAAATTTAATGAAATTTTGACCATGTTTTTAAATAGAATTTCAATTTGGATTTTAAGAAATGCTAATAGAAAGTATTTATGTGGGTCAAGAAGCTGCTGATAATAATCTTAGCTAATAATGAAATTTAAATTGAAGAAATATGAATCATACGCAATGTTGTACCAATGTTTTTTAATTCAAATGTATATTTATATACCCTGTTTTATATATTCATTTTACAAGTCTATAGAAAATCTGTTTATTTGTATATCGTATATCGTTTGGATTTTGACTTTATCTAAATATTTTGTGTAATTTAAGAAAGCAGCTTGTTTACAAAATTCTGCGTAGTTTACAAATTAAATTCAGCTAAGTTTAATATTGTTGTGGGCCAACACGCATTGTATAGCGGTAATAAAGAGAGAGTGTAATCTTCCAAATGGATGAGGATGTGTCCAGGTACTTTGAGAAAATCAGCCATGGGGCCGTGATGCGTGTGCGCAAGGAGAGCGACATGCCACTGTGGTATAATTCGGCGGCCTACCACGATGTGATCGCCTATATAAATCGAACGAGTACGGCCATTCAGGGCGTGCGACAACTGGAGCCGCACGGCTATCCGGTCAGCTTGACAATGCGAAAGCTGTGCAATCTGATCGATGGCCTGATCGGGCAGCTCCGGTTGGTCAGGGCGCATTCTATGAGCTCGTATCGCATCTGGTCACACCAGATGCTCCACGAGGTCTTCCAGATGCTGGAGAAGGCGCTGCCGGCCGACAAGTGCGAGCATGTGGGCGAGCTGGGCCAATATTTGGGCAACTCGTTTGGCAATTTCACGCGCGCCGACTACGGCACTGGGAACGAGCTGAGCTTCATCTTCTTCCTGTGCAGCCTGTTCCGGGCCGGCATACTGATCGCCGAGGACGAGCCGGCCGCCGCCCTGATGCTCTTCAGTCGGTATCTGAAGTGTGTGCGGCGCCTGCAGAGCCTGTTCGATCTGAAGCCGTCGTCCCATCAGGGCGCCTACTCGCTGGACGACTTTCAGTTTGTCGCCTATATGTGGGGCGTGGCGCAGCTGTGCTACGAGCCGCCATTCAGCCCCAGGGAGCTGTTCGATCGCGCAGTGATACGCGAGTGGCGCAATGAGTACCTAATCGTTGGCTGTGTGGCCTTCCTGGCCAGCAGCAAGCCGGGCACCTTTGCCATGCACTCGAATCTGCTGTGGAGCGTTGCCTCGCTCTCGTCCTGGCCGCAAGTCTATAACGGCCTGCAAAACATGTACCTGAAGGAGGTCATCAGTCAGTTCCACTTGCTGCGCGAGCTCTGCTTCGGCAAGCTGATGGCCTTCGTTCCGGTGTCGCCGTCCAGCCAGCTAATGCGCGCCGAGCTGGGGCACCTGTCGATGGCCCGGCAGCAGTATTTGATCCAAAGGGAGAAGATGACCAGCTCCCAGGAGCAGCAGCAGCCGCTGCTTCGCCACCATCGCCGGGATCATAAGAGGGAGCACAAGCGAGAGCGGGAACGGGAGCGCAAGCGAGAGGGCAGCGCTCTGCTGCGCCTCTCGTCGGCCGTCGATGAGTCGCACAGTGGCCTCAGCTCGGGCAGCTCGATCACATCCGTGAGCGGCACCAGCGTGCACATGAATGCAATGGCCAAGAAGCTGAACAAGCATAAGCTGAAAGAGGATCAGAAGCAGAGGCTGATACAGAAGCAGAAGCAGAAGCAGAAGCTAAAAGCTCAGCAATATACAGATATGGAATACTAACTGTCTATCTGTGTGTGTGTGTGTATGTGTGTATGTGTGTGTGACAAGAAATCAAAGCGTATGAATTGAATTGAAATGAAATCAAATTAAGTTGGCAAACAAACGAGCAACTGTTGCTGCTGTTGCTGCTGCTGTTGCTGCTGTTGCTGTTGCTGTTGCTGATGTATCACCAGCTGCCCATTAAACGTAAACCAGTTCCAGCTGTGCTGCCCCCCCGGCCCCCTGCCACAAGCAAGCGACTAAAAATCTGTTAACCGGTTTAGAAACAGACTAAAAAAAATAATAATAAAAAACAAAAAAAAAAAAACTCTTGCTGCTGCTGAGAACTGTTATACATAAGCGATACGAGTTGCTGCTGCTGTTGCTGTTGTTGTTGTTGTTGTTGCGACTCTTAACCAAAAACCAATTAAGCGCGCTCGACAGCCGGACGGACTCAGCAGAGATCGCTGCCGGCGGCCAAAGGGAAAGCAATTGGCGAGAATCTACAATTGCTAGAAACATCCTTTCACAAAACTGAAAGAAAAGAGCAGCAACAACAACAACAGCAACAACAACAACAGCAACAACAACAACAACAACAACAACAACAACAACAGC